AAATGATTTCCATTCCTCCCTCTTCAATGGGTCCCTGTGCCCTTAGGAAGCATTTCCGGACCCATGTTCATATGAACTTTTTTACTTAGTTTTGATCATAGAATCGGCCTGTTCAGGGTTGGCAGCTAATTATGAGACACCCTGTATACGTTCATGATGAAAGAAACAAATTCGTTTAAAATTCAGATAACAATTTTGTGGAAAAACGCTCGGATACGTCGATTAGTATTTTCAATTGTGGATTTTTTAACATAAGAAAATTGTTACAGGGTGTTTTATAATAATGTTAAATAAATACGTTTACCCAGAAACATCTAGTGTGGATATATTTATTCACAAATTCAAAGTAACATAAAAAATTAAACATTAAAATTTCGAATTCACTGTGCCACTTTAAAAGAATTCAGCATCATTATTTATTTTCAACTCTTTCTATAGATTTTTAATACTTTTCCTTCTTAAATTCAATAATTTGTGGCCTGCAAAATCCCTATAACTGCTTCACTTCGCAATATGTTTTTTGAAAATATTTTTTAATATTTTCCACGGCAACGCTGATAAAATCAGTAACAGACTTGATCAAACCAGTCTTTACTCTATATATATCAGTCTATATATTTTAAACGATAAGAAAATCGAAAAACTTTTTTAATAAAATTTGCTGAGAAAATAAAAAAAAATTTATATCTACCTATATTTAAAATTAAGAAAAGTAATTTCGATAACCTCATAGCCCTTATAGAGAAACCATCAGTTCCATATCACCCCGTGCATTTAGTCGCCGTCCCGCTTCCTAATAAACGGAGGTCTTACGCTTTGACCTAGATGCATGTCAACCAGGTCTCCGATTAAGGGCCAGAAGATGCCATTAACAAAGCAGCTGTGAAAAGGGCATACGTAGAACCAATATAAGGCTAAAGCGGTTAGCTGCCGGAGTAATGTGGTAACCTTATTAACATGCCAGTAGAGCAGCCTAACGAAGGTAGACGTCAGAAAATTAGCAATATCGGATATGGCAAAGTACCCACAAAGCACCAAAACCGCGACTAACGAGTTCTCGACTTGAGCAAATCAGAGGCGAAGAAATAATTGAAATAGTGTTGGCTGACTGACAGTATTTTGTAGCGGAAAAAATTGGATGGACTCAGATTTTAGAAATATCAAAATATATAAAGCTTTCAATAATGCATTTGTTGATATCACTCCCTACCATAATATACTATTTAATTTACAAATGTATCACTGACAAGATTTACTTCCGGGGCTTCTACAAAGAAACCTAATAGTAGATATAAATTCCATTTCATGTTGCGAAGATGAATTTGAAATTATTTTTTAGTAAATCGCAACATATCGAAATAACGTTATTTTTTTTTGACGAGTAAAGGTAAATTCATGTAGCTAGTCCAGGCAAGTTAGACCAAAATCACCCAGATTACGGAAATTTTTTTTTGATTAACCGATCGAGTCGCGGTTTTCGGCATTGTCTTCCGAAAAATATCAGGAAAAAAGTCTATCTATTACACTTGGGGGCTGGATCGAAACTGCAATGCGGGTGCATAAACTGCATCTTGGAGTGCATCAATTTTTCCGAATTTTCTAAAAATGGTAAAAATTGACTAAAAGTTGTAGAAATTTGGTTTTCGGGTCGGAGATTCTGAATCTGACCCTGAAAAATATGCCCGACGGCCTTGGGCCCCCCCAGGGGGGCAAGCGGGAGCCTTCTGTAAAACATCGAATAGCTGAGTAATTGCCTTCTAAATTTCTACTCGGGGGTTTTCGGGGTCGGGGATTCCAAATCTGACACTGGAAAGTATCCATTAATCTTAGCTTGTCTATCACTGAGAAAAATTGTCTTAGAATTGGAGAAATCCTGGACAATCCGTTCCCAAGAGACACATTTCGTTAAATCAAAGAAATATTCCTTAAAACCGAAGAATATTTCATGGATCATGGATTTTCAAAAGAATCTCTTGGGCCCGTGCGACTGCGGATAATGCATAACAATTAGGCGACAAAATCCGATTATCGACAATGCAGATCTTGTGGGTGCAGGAAGCATGGAATTACATGCACAATTGCATGTACAAATTGTTTTGGAACCAACTGTTCCAATCCTG